GGGATTTTGGGCTTGGGATTTTGGGAATATGGTTTTACGGGGATTTTGGGCTTGGGATTTGGCATATGGGTATAACGGGGTTTTGGGAATATGGTTTCGTGATTTTTTGGCTTGGGAATTTGGGCTTGGGGTTTGTCATATGGGTATAACGGGGTTTGGGGCTAAGATTTCGGGCTCAGATTTTGGGCTTGGGGTTTGGGCTTGGGATTTCGGGCTCAGATTTGGGCGAATGGTTTCCATAGATTAGTGGGGCAAGGTGTCTTGTAAGTGGGGGAGGGGGGGCGGCGGGCTGTTCGGGGCTCAGGGTTTCGAACTCAAAATATCCGGCAAGGTATCGAATTTTCTGATTATGGGTTTCCCCGTATCCCGTAGCAATACCTGCTTCTCGTCCAATCCAGGACACTCCGAACACAGCAGGGCAGGGCACGATGGTCCTCCATAGGGTACTGAGGGGCGGCCTGCGCCGTGATACTTGTCCTTTCGGAGTTAAAACTCTCTTCCCCTGGGTTTGGAGACCCGGATCGCAATAAAGGCAACGACATGTCCCGTGAGCGAGGTCACAAGTGGAATGGTACCGAACAGTCCCGGAAGTGTTTGTGCCATTAGGGCCATTTGAGTTTCTGGAGCTTGGGGATGGGCAGTTGGAGTTGTCGGTTGACATCGCCTCCTTCTTCCATTTCGGCAGCTCAGCAGTGCTCCCTAAAGCATCGCCGTCGTGTTTACGTCTACCTACGAGATATCACTACACGGCACCCGTCGTATCTTCGGAGGAGCTTCAGGTCCATCTCCGAATCTGCAGTTCAGAAGCCGTCCGCCATTGTTCACCCAAAGCCGCAGCGGGGCCTTAAACGGAACTCATGGTCTCAATGTCCTCGGCCGATTTCTCCTCCAGGATGGACCGAAGGTTGTCTTCGGCCACGAGGGTATCCGGATGATCTGGCCCAAGCCTAACTTCCCCAATCGGCCAGGGAAAAAAAAGGTAGTGTAGGGGCCTTAATAATTAGAATAGGGTTTTGGGGGTCCTTAATGTGGTTATAGTATAATATAGTATAATTCACCCCAAACCCTATTCTAATTATTGAGGCCCCTACATTACTAAACTACAAGAACCCAAAAATGTTAAAGGTCGGGTATTGGGGAACTAAGAAGCGTCTCGCGGAAGCTTTGCACTGTGGAGCGGAGCAGCACCTCCGCCTCCTCCAGGCGCCCCATGGCCGAGAGAGCGACCGCCAGGTTGTCCTGGCTCCGCAAGGTCCTGGGTTGCGGCGAAGGAACTTAAACTAAAGTACTAGATATAGCAAGGAAAACGAATCCCGACAAGTTACTATATTATATCAGAGTATATATATATATATAGATATATTCTGGTACCTTAAAATTAATAAGTTCCTTAACTGCAACCCCAGGGTCTCAGGGTGCCGGGCTCCTAGGAGTGCCCCAAGGCCCAGTGCTGCTTCGCGGAAGAGCGGCTCCGCCTCGGCAGCACGGCCTTCCCGAAAGAGCAGGGAGGCTAGATTGTCCTGGGCTTTGAAGTAACCAGGGAGAAAAAAGTATAGACTTTTATTTCATAATGGTTCCTTTAAGGAACAGGTCCCCCCAAAAAAGTATTAAAGTATGGTACTCCAAAGCCCAGTGTCTGCACTGAGCAGAGTGTCCATATCCTTGTTCCCGAGTTTCGCCCGGCAGCCGGCCAGTGCCTCTGCGTACAAGCGTTCAGCTTCCGCCGTCTGTCCAATGACAGAGAGCAGACTTGCTAGATTGTTGATGCTCGTTAAGGTGTCGGGATCTGTATTCCCCAGGACGGCTCGGCGTCGCTGCAGCGCGCGACGATACATGCGCTCGGCCTCCACCACTTGACCCTGTACTTTCAGAAGCACCGCCAAGTTGTTCAAGCTAGTGAAGGTGCTGGGATTCTTCTCGTCAGGGTCGTTGCGAAGTCTCGCCTCCAGCGTCTCTTGGTACAGTTTCTGCGCCTCTCTATACCTATCTGGGCCCTGAGCTTTGAGAGCCACCGCCAAATTGTTGGCAGCCCAAAGGGAGTCCTTATCCAACGCAGAAGCCTGGCAGAGCTCAAAGGCGCGCCGAAAAACCTCCTCAGCTTTGGCACTTTCGCCGAAGGCCAAGAAGGCAACGCCCAAATCATCCAGCGCAGTTACCACGGCATCAGGGGTTGCTGAATCTCGCAGGAGCGCAACCGCCTCCTTCCGGCGTTTCAGCTCGACGGGCAAGTTCTCATCCTGGAGACGCCGGGCACGGTTCGCAGCGTCGCCAAGGATTGCTCGGCAAGCGCTCACAACAAAGACTGGGGCAGTGGGAAGAAGTCGCCACCATGCACTTCTCCCCGGCAACGGTGCTTTCAGGTTTCGAGGTACCGATAGCGCCCGTGGCATGCACGGCCAGGGTGTCACCGCGCTGCGAGCACCCGGCTGCAACATGGCGATGCGGGCTTCGCTGAGTTGGAGCTGGTAGGTGGGGCAGATGACAAGAACAAGATACCGTCACGTTAATGAAGGCCTACATTATGAGAAAGGCAGCATGTGCAGTAAGCATTCAATTCAGGGGCAGATTGAGGGGCGGAACCAATACTGCTTTTCTACCTTCTACTTGCGACCCCAGCCTCTTCTTGAAATGATTGTGTTCTTGGTCATCTGGTGATCAAACTCTTCATGTTCAGAAAACTGAACTTTCCAGAGATCACCGCAACGAGTCATTCTTGCCCACATCCGCTCTCTACCTCCTGTTGGCAATCGCAGCTTGTGGATGATTACCCCCTATCCTTGACTCTCGCTCGAGGACTCGAGCCACAGGCGGCACAGCAGGAACGCGTCAAGCTGATATCCCAAAAGGGCCCGAACGGGTCGAACTCATCTTCATCTTCTGGTAGGCTATGTAGGGCTATTGTGCCGTAGAATTGCTTCGCGTACAAAGTAACGGATTGTTGCGGTGCCTTTGACTAAGGCTGTAGCGGGGATGGTGTGCTGAAGGCTTGATGGTGCCGATTGAGATTTGGATGAGAAGCGTGGCGGAGGTGGAGATCGTGCATTCGTGATGAGGAGATGCTGCTAGACTAGGCCGGTTGAGAAAGCATGGGACGGGTCAGAATGCAAGGTGTGGGTGAGCCGATGCTTGCCATAAGAACCCAAGGCTCCCGCAGGAAGCCTCGGATGGAAGGCTCAAGCACCTGACCCAGAGCTTTGGGCTGTTCGGGTTCAGAATTGGGGGCTTCCTATTCGGCGTTAGGTTTTCGGGCCTACATATGACTTAAGCCTCGAGAGGGCTTAGCCTTTAAGTAGTGCTTGCGTTGTTATATGGGGGTTTCCGAAAATTAGGGTACCGTATTTTGGGGTCCTTATAATACGGCACCTATTATTTAGGGTTCCCCAAAAGGGACCCTAATTTTGACAACTACCCATATGGTTTGGGGTTTACATCGGAAGCTTGGATATTGAATTGGGCTTTTGCTAAGACAGGGCTGAAACATGGCGTAGAACCTTTGTGGTATACGTATACGGCTTAGGTTGCTTTTCGGGTTGATGGCTTAGGGCTTCATGAGCACTTTTTGTCGCAGAGCATTAATGTCTCAACCCTTGCACCCGCCAACATATAATCAAGAAGCTTCCACCGTGAACCCAATGCCATCAGATGCTGTATCTTAACAACCACCTTCTTCATAATTGCATGCATGGCCACATCCAGTTGAGCTCAGAGACGGGTCCCTAAATGCTCCATGCAAGTTGAGGATTGCGACCGTTGCGCTCGCTCACATATTCGAGCCTCTGGACGTGGGGGAGTGCGATCAAAATCAACAGACGCATGATAGCCGCTTCAGGACTTCAGGACACCACTTTTTCAAGAGTTACTGTACAGGTTGGTGGGACTTGCTGCTCATTTCCAACAGGCACGGCTGCGCATGGCATGGAGGCCTGAACAGCGTAATAGCGCTGGATTGTCCGCACCGCGACCTGGCAGTGGAGACGCTCAGGGCTTACGTAGGGTTAAGGGGTTCCAATCCCAAGCTCCCAAACCGTCAAAAACAAGCTGGATTTCCAAAATGGTTAGCCGTGAGCAACAGCCTTGGAATCCCTGAAGAAGAAGAGTATCCTTTTCCTCATCAGGTATGACATATCATATCACAAGTTCAAGGAGACCCTGAAATAAACAAGGGTGTACTTCTGGGGGACGTAGAAAAACCGAACCCTCCGGAACTTTACTGCATCCTGTCAGCCGCAACTTCCAGGCGCTTGAGAGGCAGGGGGGGGGCGACCCATACCAAGACCCTAGACCCGAACAGCTGTGAATGCACCTTGCACCCTGAATCGCCCTGGCCGCAAAAAAGCTGAGCCTCGGCGACACTTTCGGACATCCGCGCGGAGCTCCGCGCCGCCTCGCACACAACTACGAAGTGGCTTCTGTTTGTCACTTCGGTGCTGCTACAAATGGAAAAATTCACTAGGCAGTGGTTTAGCTGTAGCTGCCCACTTTACAATGGGTATATGTGTGCTGAAATTGGGACCGTAACTCCAAGCGCTAATATGGGCGGGCGTCTCCAGGCAACGGATGATGAAGATAGGTCCCCAGAAATCTCTGACACAAACCCCTGGCGAGCCCAAATTTTGCTCGAATGCGACCGGTGCGACCCTTCTTCTGGAGTCTGCCTTGAAGTGAACATGCTGGGGCTGATGGTGGGGCAACCGATATATTACCACCACCAACTCTCACTGTCACGTCAGCATAATCGTCGTGTCGCCTTCCACCCCATCATCATAATCCTCATCCTCGTTATCATCCTCTTCCTCGTCCTCTTCCTCATCATCACCAACATCATCACCATCATCATCATCATCATCACGCGATCGCTCGCCCTCTTGTGCTGCCTCTCAGAAGAGCCACCAAGTGCGACCTCAAACATCGCCATCCGCCCTCAGAGCTAGTCTTATGAGGCATCAAGAACTTTCAATGCCATCCTGTCACCAAACAGCAAGAACATAACATGGCCCGTGTGCGTCATGCACCTTGCTTCGATCCGAACCCCAAGCTGAAAGCCTCGCTGACGCTCGCAGGTGCCTGGGACGGTAGCGGCTGACCCTGGCACAGGGGGCGCAAATTGGCACGTGTTGGCCGTGAGAGTTTGGGCTTTATAGGGTTGGGGTGTAAGAAATTGTTGAGGGCCCTTTTACGTTAGCATATCCAGCATCAGCAACCCCATGGTGTAGAGCTTAGAGTTTAGGGTTTGTGAGGCCTTAAGATTCCGGCTCATTGGTCCGTTCAGAAGTCGGCAAACTTCGAGCACCTGACTGCCTAAATCTTCCGAATCGGAAATCGGTAGCCGGAGCCTGCCACATCCAGACCATAGCCTTTCCAGGAACGGCACCTCAGCCGCAGTCCAAGGGCAAATTGCTTGCATAATTGCGGTGAAGCTTTTTTTACCCTGACTCCCTAATCGACCCTATACCGTTACACCCCGAACACAACAAACCTATGAACTGGCTATCGACATCCCCAAAAAGCCCCTGAGCCTACTCTGGCCTAGCTGAACCCTTTACCCAACTCCGACAACCCGAACTCTCCGTACGAAAAGCTTCTATGATCCCCGAACCCGAAGTTTTGACCTTGCAAACCTAGCAACACCCCTAAACCCTAAACCCTAAACCCAAAAGCCCAAAAGGGACCCTAATTTTGGCCCCAGGCCAGAAACTTCCAACCAAACCCCAAGGCTCCCCGGCTGCTCCGCACCAGCGAGAGCGGCGGTAAGTCCTGCTCCGCCAAACCCACAGCCTCGCAATGTACTTGAGGAGTAGTATAGTAGTAGTAGTAGTAGTAGTAGTAGTATAGTAGTAGTAGTAGTAGTAGTAGTAGTATAGTAGTAGTAGTAGTAGTAGTAGTAGTAGTAGTAGTAGTAGGGTTTCGGGCTTAGGGTTTTTTGGGGTTTCGGCTCTCACACTCGGACAATGCAGGGTTTAGGTTTTAGGACTAGGCTTCTGTCTGCCGTAGTCGGAGCTTCCCTTGATTTTCATGTTACATATATATATATATATATTATTTTATTTATTTATTTATTTATTTATCTATTTATTTATTTATTTATTATGTATTTATTTATTTGTGCCTTACCTTGCTTGTAAGACTTTTTACATCCATCCTGCAATATATCTACTGACAACGAGCCGTTCGCCCGCTCACAAGTAAAGCGCCGAAACGCAAAGGCAATAAGTGAATCGCCGCTGCATAGTGGCATCGAGCAGATTTGATTTGATGCTATAGCGAAGTTCTGCCCAGGAAGCTATAACTAGCTGTTCTGACTTCTTTTGTCTACTAGGCACCTGAGACCACACGTTAACGATCAGAACTCTGGACGTGAATCTCACGGTGGCCTGCGCAGCCTGGGTCGGATGCAGCGGCATATCGAAAGCAACGGCCTCGGAAGGGCAGGACACTACACAATGAGTTTTGGCAGTGGTTTAGGGTCTACGAAGTCCAGCAATTAGCGTTCTTGCGTGTTTGCTATCTATGCGAAAGGTCACCCAGCCTGGTTCAATACCGAGAGGTTTGAGATGGGTGTTCGAACTGCGCCCCACACGGCTCAAGCTTTCCGTCGGCAGACCAAGTCATGGCCAGAACTGGCCGGGACGGGAGATGCACTTTCGAACTCTGGTGCATGCTTACTTACATATCTAAATTGGGGTCCCTTTCGGGGTGGATGCGAAAAAGGGACCCTGATTTAGAGAACTACCCATCTGCTTCGTAAAACCAAGAAACTTCAAACAGGTGCCATGCCTGCATTCTCTGAACCCAAACCCCAGAATCTGGACAAATCATCTTCCGGGCTCTGTCACAAGAACGAGTTCAACACAACCAGAACCCCAGAACCCGAAACTCCCCCAACCTTCACCCAGACCCTCAACCGAAACCCACTTAGGGCCCAAACTACCAAGCCGTCGTTGGTGACCACCAGAGCCGGGCCTCTGCTAATTCAGAGTGGCATGGGTTTTAGGGTATGGGGTTTCATGGTCGAGTCTGGGGTTTCAGGGTTTCCGGGTCTTCACGGTTTCAGGGCTTAGGGTTCGAGGGCTTGCGGTTAAGGGTTCCGGGGGTGAGGGCTTAAGGGTTTGAGGCTTGAGGGCTGGCTATTCACAGTCCGGGGCTTTGTGTGCTGAAAGGGCCTATGAACTGCACTTGCGTAGAACTTCTACCATCGAGTCATCGTTAACACAGAGAGAGAGAGAGAGAACATAACATGCGGTTAATCAGCCAACCACCATACATATCCACCAACCAACCGATCAACCAGCTGCCAGCCAACTCCAACCAACCCGACCAAGTAACCAAACTATCTACCTGCCTGCCCACCTACCCACCTACCCACCTACCCACCTACCCACCTACCCACCTACCCACCTACCCGCCTACCCGCCTACACACCTACCCACCTCCCCAC